AAGACGGTCTGGTACTTCACTGAGACTTCTTTTGTTTACTGTGGTGAAAAGGAAATGAAGTGTTAGTCACTCAGCTATGTTTGCGACCTCCCTGGCTGCAGCCCGTCAGCCTCCTCTGTCCATGGAATTCTCCAGGTAAGAATACTAGAGTGGGTTGCCATTCCCTTCTCCAAGGGATCTTGTCCAGCCAGGGATCAAACGCGGGTCTCCTGCCTTGCAGGCAGATTCTTAGACTGTGGTCAGAAGGAAAAGTCTGGCAAGTTCAAGGTAGTGAAAAGCTGCAGCTCCTGCTCTAGGGAGAGACAGCGGCAAAGTGCTGGGGAGGGAGGCAGTGCAGGATCAAAGAGGTGGTTTAAAAAGGAAATAACCTCTTTTTCTCGAATGAGGTTAAGTGATCTTTAGCGCCATGACGGTCTGTCACACGAAATCATCTCAACCGTCACCCAGTGGTATGATGGTTGTTTCTTAGTCGCTAAGTTGTGTCCAACTCTTTGAGACCCCATGGGCTGTAGCCCGCCATGCTTCTCTGTCCATGGGATTTCCCAGGCAAGAATACTGGAGTGGGTTGCCATTTCCTTCTCCAGAAGATCATCCCGATCCAGGGACTGAACCGACATCTCCTGCATTGGCAGTCAGGGAAGCCCAGTGGTATGATCAGTACACTTCAAAAAGCAAAATTAGAAACACGTTGTAGACCGCCATACTCACCAGCGCCTCCAGAGGACACCTGCAGCAGTTTCCAGACACACCTGCTGCCTCTCACTTCTTTCTACTGAAGACATTTCCTGGATGCAGGGTGTGTTCTCCAGACTGCATGCAGAAATCGGGGTGGGGGGGAGGGGAGGAATACTGGGACACACAGTCTCTCTGAGCCCTTTCTCCACAGTAACTCACTCATCAACATATCCTTTACTGGATTTCCCTTCTTCCCCAGTCCATTTCAATCTCACTGGGCTTTCTGGGATCACCTTCCAAATAAATTCCAGGCACCCAAATCCTGGTCTCATGATATGCTTTGGGGAAACCCCAACTATGGAACAGTTTAATTATGGAGCTGAAGAAATGGCTGGGGATACTCCATGGAGATTCATGAATCAGGAAAGAATTCAAGTAGGAGGACATTTAGTATCCTTCTGACACTTAGGTCCATGATTCTGGATCAAGAGTCAGCAAACTACAGCCCATGGTCCACAGGCACTCCCATCCCCCACCTGTTTTTGTACAGCCTGTGAGCTAAGAATGGCTTTTACAATTTTAAACGGTTGGGGAAAAAATCAAAACAAGAATAACATTTTGTGGCCCATAAAAATGATATAAAACCCAGATTTCAACATCCATCAATGAAGTTTTATTGGAAACACAGCTACACTCATTCATTCCCATACCATCTATGGCTGCTTTTACTCCGTAACTGCAGAGTTGGGTAGTTGCAACTTAAACCCTAATGGGTTTCAAACTAGTCAGTCCTAAAGGAAATCAACCCTGAATATTCACTGGAAGGACTGATGCTGAAGCTGAAGCTCCAATACTTCGGCCACCTGATGTGAAGAGTCAACTCACTGGAAAGACCCTGACGCTGGGAAAGATTGAAGGCAAGAGGAGAAGGGGGCAACAGAGGATGAGATGGTTGGATGGCATCACCAACTCAATGGACATGAGTTTGAACAAGCTCTGGGAGACAGGACAGGGAAGCCTCGTGTACTGCAATCCATGGGGTCGCAAAGAGTCAGACACAACTTAGCAATTGAACAACAACAGCAACAACTGGAACTCTATGGTCTGCAACACTCAAAACATTAACCGAAGGGTTTGCCGACCCCTATTCCAGATAATTATCCTGCGGGGACAAGGGGCAGATTGAGACCTTGTTGCCCCTGGGTGAAGAGCCTATCACCAGACCTAGTATTGAGGGGTTTTTTGGATTAGCCACTCACATTTCCTTTTCTTACATCTCTGTGGCCTCCCTCTGCTCTCTGCAGGTACTTAGGACTCTTCTCCTGAGACACTAACGTTTTAACACCAGGAATAATTTTATTTTTAAAAGGACAGAGATCTTATCTTCTCCCACACTTTGCCCACTGTCCCAGGTGATTTCATCCACTCTGGATGGCTTCATTCAGTAACTGATTTCTCCCCAGACCAAACTAAATCCCTGGACCAGGGTCGTGTCCTGAGATCTCAGACCAACACTCAAACGTCTGTTCAACATTAGATTCACATCGGGTAGGGGAGGTGGGTTTTACTGCTTACCAGTGGTGTAACCTTGAGCAAGGCATATAGTTGCCCGGGGCATCAATGTCATGACCTGTCAAAGGTGAAAACCATCCCGCCTTGCCTGCCAGGATTACTGCGCTAACTGGACGAAAGGAGAGCTGCCCGCGAAACGCTGCCACCCAGCCCCAGCCTCCTCCTCCAGCATACTATTACATTATTAGACCTCCGCTTCCTCCACATGTCCCGCACCCTGGCTCTTCTTGAGCTCCGTGACTTTGCTACCTGTTGGCCTTTGCACATGCTGTTTTTCCTGCCTGAAACATTTTTTCTCCATCCCACCCTCTGCCTGGCTGCTTCTCAGCCTTTTTAACCCTCAACCCAAGGCAGGCCCCTTCTGTATGCCTCTCCATCTTTGTGCTGGATTCTCTCACTGCATGTGCAGTAATGTCTAATTAGAGTCAATTCTCATTATTCACAGTGGTTATGTTCTCTGAAGCTGCCATGAACACAAAATTAGCAAATACCGAACCACTGCTCCTAAAAGGAAAAAACCTAAGGGTAGGTTTCTGCAAGCCTCCGGTCACATTTTCATCAACAGATCAATACCTAACCTTGTTTAATCTGTGTTTCTGTTTCAAGACCCCTTATTTAACATATATTGCTGATTCACTGACATTGAACTCATGGCCAGGCCCACTACAACTCAGGCCTGAACAAAGCTTATCAAATACACATTTTCCCCATAAAGCACAACACAGCCTTCTTGGGCTTGGGAACACTAGATAGCACTTCAGCAGTATGTTTGGGGGCTGATTTTTTTTTTCCCAAACTTATTTTTAATTGAAGGAAAATTGCTTCACAATATTGTGTTAGAAAGAAAGTTAAGTCACTCATTTGTGTCCAACTCTGCAACCCTATGCACTGTAGCCTCCCAGGCTCCTCTGTCCATGGGATTCTCCAGCAAGAGGACTGGAGTGGGCTGCCATTTCCTTGGCCTCTGCCACACATCAACATGAGTCAGCCAGAGGTATACGTGTGTCCCCTCCCTCCCACCTCCCACCCCATCCCACCCCTCTAGGTTGTTACACAGCCCTGGTTTGAGTTTCCTGAGTCATGCAGCAAGTTGGTTGTCTTGGGGTGATTTTTAAACAGAAAAATCACCAACAGAATGCACAAAAAAAATGCAAAAACAACAAAAAACAACCCACAACACTAAACAGACCATAAAAGGGATGCTTGCTCACAGTTCTGAGAGTTGGAACAAGAAGGCAGTGTCCTCTCGTTTTGACCTCAGGTGGGAACAAGTGTGTTGAGCGACTCAAATTTTTTGCCATTCTGTTCACATCCATGAATGAGCATGAGAAGTGCTGCAGATACTGACTTGGGGGTTACAAATCAATTTTAGCGAGTGGGAGAATTCACAAATCCAGAGTCTGCAAACAAGGAGGATCCACTGTACTTTCTTCTCATTTCTCTCATTCACTAGAGTGTGAGTTTGCTGAGGACTGGTTTGCCTCTTACTCACTGTGAGACCTGTAGCATCTGGATTACAACCTGGCACACAGTAGGCTTTCCACAATAAATCCAGTTGACATGAACCCATGAGTCAATTCTGTGAAAATACTTCACTGGAAGCAATGACAGCTAGTGTTTGTGGAGGAGGCACCATGAATGCCTTGTGTTATGTGCTTTTTCTATGTTCCCTCCATCAAAAAGGGAAACAGCAACTCATTGTACTTTTGCCATGGGCTCTAGAATCATACTGCCTGGGTTCAAACACAGGATCTGCTTCTAATTAATTATTTAACTCTGAGCAAGTTCCTTGCCCTCTCTGAGCTCCAGCTTCCTCAGCTATCAAACGGGGTAGTTAGTATAGTTAACACCTTGTGGGTCATGGTGAGGAGATGTGGCCACACAGAGAAAGCATTTAGCATAGTGCCAGGCACAGATGAGCATTTAGGAAACATTACCCCTTGTGGTCAATAATTTCCATGGCAAATCTAAGAGTTTTATACTATTATACCCATTTTGCAGATGAAGAAACTGAGGCTAGGGGTGATTCTATGAGTTTTTGAGGGTCACACAGCCCAGGGAGGGCGGGCTCTGGGAACTCTAAGCCTAGTCTCATAACTGCTTTGTTGTAAACATAGCATTTACTAAAATGATGAGGGCTGCTCCAGGAGGTCCCCTGAACTTCTGTGGGATCAGGGTAAGGACAAACTCCTCTTTCCCCAAGAGCCTTCTCTCATATTCTACATCTGTGTCTTTCTGTTCCCTGCCCAATTTCGAGTTCAACCCTTTCAGTACCAGTCCTGTTGGGAGGGAGGATGTTGGTTTGTTATCTTGGGTTTGACAGCTCAAAGGCGGAGATATTTCCTGCTTAAAAGACTCCCTGAAGAAGAAGGAGGAGGAGGAGAACCAGCATTGTGGGCTGCAACAACTGTCTTCCTTTTCCTCCAACCCTTTGGGTCAAGGGTCCTCACCCTTGGTTGCTAGTTGGAGTCGCCTGGGAAGCTCTGAAATATCCAGAGGTCCAGGCCCCGACCCAGACCACTTCCATCTGAGCCTCGGAGCAGGGTGGGGTGGAGGGCTACGGGGCATCGGCATTTTTTTCATGCTCCCCCCAAGCGATTCCAGCGTGCACGCAAGTTGGAGAAATGGTGCTTTTGGAACAGCCCTCGGCTCCAACGCTGAAGTCGATTTGGGGAGCAGCAACTCTTTTCTCCTCCTAGGACTAGCTGCTGGGGGATTCGGGCAGGCTCTCCAGAGGAACCAGCCAGTGGAGGATGTTTGCGTGCGAGCGATCTGGCGTCCAGCTGTGCCCCGAGGCCCAGCTTGGAGACGGCGGGTCTCCGGGTCCCCGCAGGCAACGACACGTGCGGCCGCTTCGACCTGTCTCGTTATCTAACGAGACCGCCAGCCGACCTCGGCGGCCGATGCGCGGCCCACCCCGACCACAGAGGTTCGCAAGAAACGCCCGGGGCTCGGGAATTCCTACCTTGGCTGCCGGCGCTCCCCTCCGGTCCCCGGAATCCTGCCACTCCGGTTCGATCTGTCGCCGGGGCTCCGCGGTCGCTTTCGTCTGCGCCCGAGAGGCGCCCACTAGAGCGCAGGCGCCACCTAGTGGGCGCGGGGCGGAGGCGCGGGGACCGGGCGGGGAGGTGGGAGAGCGGTCGGTCCCGGGCGGAAATGCTGCCCGGGCTGCCCACGTGGGCGGTTTTCCAGCACGCTGCGCACCCTGGGCGCTAATCCCGGCTGGGTGGGATCACCTTCACTCCCTAGAGGGCACTGGAATCTGAACTTGCTGAACTTTCTCTTGGGGGCACGGAGGGGCAGCCAGGCCCTGGCTGCTGGCCTGAGATCCATTCTGGGATTTTCCTGGCTGGACTCAGGGATCTTGCCTTTCGTCCAGAAGCTTTCAGTACACCCCGATTTGGCAGAGCCGAATCTTTTAAATATATAGCGAGCATCAGAAGATGCAAGGGACTGGGCCTCTCTCAAAACCAGGGAGGCCTTTGCCCTACTAGCGATTCGTTCTTTTAGCTCCGCCTCCCACCCCACCCCACCCCCACCACACCGCACCCCCCATTTCCTATCCTCCCACCCCCTAACAGTTACCTTTCCTTCCCTGTTCCTTCCAGTCTCTTTCGTTGTTATTAAACATCCAGTCTGTATCACACCCTGTGTATAGAATCCAGAGACAGGCTCCTAAGGAGTTGGCAATGCAGGTTATATTTCTGACCCAGGCGCCTTTCACATTGACATTTCTTTGATTGGAGCCTTCCTGGCACTGCTGAATATTTACATCTCTGATTCCTTGGCGCTAAATGCCAGTGGCCACCCTGAAGTCATTGTGACAACCAAAACCACCCCTTCAGATTTCCAATTGTCTCCTGGGTTGGGGGAGCACCGCCCTAGGCTGAGAACCTGTTAGCTGCTTATGAAGGTCAGGAAAATGGTGGATTATTGAAAGTGTGTACATTTCATTTCTTTTTTTCCCCCTCCAACCAATGTTAACTGAGCACTTACTATGCGCCAGACACTTTCCTATGAATAGAAGATACTAGAAAGGACAAAACACCTAAGTCTCTGCCCTTGCTGAAATCACGTTTATGTAACAAATTAACTTTTCGCACACACACACAGATGCAATGCAATGTAATTGAGCTCTTGGCAGGATAAGTCCAGGGTTTATTTTTTTTTAATGTAGCAATCGATCGGGCACCAAAGGTGGAGAGTGCCCTGGTGATGGAGGCAAGTTTGGCAAGTCTTCTTTTAAGGCAGCTTATCTCTGGGGTGATAGTTGGGGATAAGTTGACCAATGTGGAAATATTAGAGACAATTAGTGACAGTGAGACCTGGGTGATTCTCCCACCGCCACCCCCACCTGCCTGTGCCTATTTAAACTTTGGTCTCTCTGTACTGGTGTCATCTGGTCAAAGTGACCATCAAGGACAGAGAAAGAGGGGGAGGGAGTATTATCTATGGGCAGTACCTGGAGTGATGAGGGTGTGTGTGTGTGTGTGTGTGTGTGTGTGTGTGTGAGAGAGAGAGAGAGAGAGAGAGAGAGAGAGAGACAGGGGCCACCCCAGCCTACTCAGGGCCAGTTTGTGCCCTGGTCAAGGTGAATCTGTCAGAGAAGTGCTGACAGGTACATTTCCCATTCTGTCACTTTAACGTGTCTCTGAGTCACTTTCATGCCTTGCAGGAGCTCCCTTCTCCACCCCACACACCACCCTCCTGTGCCCCAACGCTTGCCCAGGCAAAGACCTAGCTTTAGAGCATAACCTCTGCGATTCTGATGCCAGGCATCACCTGATGAGGTTAAAGGTTTCCAAAAGAATTTCTCCTCTGAGTTCTTCTAGCATTCTGTTCATTCCACTAATTACAGAGTTTTGGGGACTGTGGTTATCAACAGGTCTGTTTTTATCCACAGGTTCTCCATAAATGATCTCCTTGAGGGCCTGAGCCATGTTTGATAGGTAGAAGTAGTGTCAATAATAATAAAAATAATTTGTAACATATTAAAGCGAAGTCACTCAGTCCTGTCCGACTCTTTCCGACCCCATGGACTGTTGGTTACCAGTATCCTCCGTCCATGGGATTTTCTAGGCAAGAGTAGTGGAGTGGGCTGCCATTGCCTTCTTCAGGGGATCTTCCTGACCCAGGGATCAAACCTGGGTCCCCCTCATTGTAGGCGGACGCTTTACCGTCTAAGCCACCTGGGAAGTCTTGTAACATATTAGGTACTAAGAATTTTATTTTATTTGGCTGTGCAGCTTGTGGGATCTTAGTTCCCCAATCAGGGATTGAACCCAGGCCCTTCATGGTGAAAGCATGGAGTCCTAACCAGGGGACCACCAAGGAATTCCCAGCACTAAGAATTTTTTTTAATTATCTTTAAAAATTTATTTTGGCTGCATTGGTCTTAGTCGCAGCACACGGGATCTTTGTCGCTTCATGCAGGACCTTTCCTCTCTAGCAGTGGTGATCGGGCTCCAGGGCCCGAGGGCTTCGTCATCGTGGTGTTCGGACTTAGTTGCTCCCTGGCACGTGGGATCTTAGTTCCCCGACCAGGGAGCGAACCTGTGTCCCCTGCCCTGCAAGAAAGATTCTTAACCCCTGGACCCCTGGGAAAGTCCTAGCACTCAGATTTTAGACTGACTGGTTTAATCCTCACAATAATCCTATGAAGCAATCACTATTGTTTCACCCATTTTATTGAGGAAGGAATTTAGGCCCGTAATGCTTAAGTAATTGCCTCTGGGTAGGAGAGTTAGCAAGCGGTGTGGCCAAGACCTGCATTTGGATTGCCCACCTGTACAGCCTCTGCCTGTGAGCACTCCACCACTGTTGACTGAGACCTGGACAGCCATGCTGGACACTGTGTCTTAGATATGGGGCAGGATGGACAAGGGCTCTCCTCTGTATCCCTCTGTGCTCCTGTTCTGTCCATTCTTCCCTTCAAAGGGAGAATTTTCTTTGCTGCATTTTGTTTTTTAATAAATTCATGCTGTGAGATGAAACGTATTTTTTTAGTAGGCAAGAGCTTCTTTGTCTTCTAGAATGATGCTCCATTATGGAAGGTGAGGGGAAGTCCCTGGCAGTCTAGTGGTTCAGAATTCAGGGCTTTCACTGAGGGTTCAATCCCTGAGCAGGGAATTAAGATCCCTCAAGCTGGGAGGAGAGCCCCATCCCGCAAAAGAGAGTGAGAATCCTCTACTCTCCAAAGTGGGTGGAGCTAGAAACGGGGGCCCTGGGGACACGGGCAGGATGTCAGGACCCTGGCAGAAGGAGAGGCAAAGAAGGAAGGAGGAGAGGATGCCAGAGACCAACAGGAAAGGGGCTGGTACCCATCCCAGGAAGGGCACTTGACCTTGTGAGGCTGGCCCTTGGACTAAATGGCAACTTGACTTTGGGGGTCCTAGTATGTTTATGGCAGAAGTAAGGTTGGTCACTTTCCGGTCATGAACTGCACGTGCAAATCCTGCCAGATATGAGATGTACTAGCAGGATGACACATATGCTTTGTCATTGATTCTTTCCAAAAGTCCAGGAAACTGAGAGTCAGAGAGGTTAAACAGCTTACTGTACACGTATAGCATGTACACTATAGAGTTAGTTTTCAGTCTCAAGTTCCTCTCATGCTGAATTGGAGTGCTTCTTTTTATTTGTTTATTTGGCTGCACCAGGTCATAGTTGTGGCATGAAAGATCAGTCTTTGTAGCGGCCTGCGGATCTTTAGCTGTGACATGTGAACCCTTAGTTTCGACATGTGAGATCTAGTTCCTTGGCCAGGAATGAATCTGGGGCACCTGAGGGGCCTTGGCCACTGGACCACCAGGGAAGTTCCTGAATCGGATGCTTCTAACCGTGACTACTAGTTGCTCAGTCATGTCCAACTCCTTGCAACCCCATAGATTATACAGTGCCAGGCTGCTCTGTCCTTGGGATTTCCCAGGCAAGAATACTGGAGTGGGTTGACATTTCTTCTTCTAGGGGATCTTCTTGACCCAGGGATCAAACCCACGTCTCTTGCCCCTCTTGCATTGGTAGGCAATTCTTCATCACTGAGCCACTTGGGTTATTAGCTGTCTTTCCACAAATGAATGATGAAATGAACTGAACTCCTAAGGACGGATTTGCGTTCTTTGTTTTGGCCAGGATATCAGTTCCTCCTCTACCAGCTAATGTTCTGCTCATCCTTCTGGGTCCATCTCTGGGAAGCCAGTCCCTTTCCCCTTTTTCCAATGTGCCCTTTTCCCTGTGTTAAAGCACTGCATTCTGCCTCATAGTTTAATTCCCTGCAAAGATGTTGCCTCCCCCTACAGATTCTGTGTCCTTGAGAACATGATCCACGTGGATTGTGCTAGATGGTTTGTTTACTTCTCCACATCTGCTCTCCTTTTCCACCCTGCTCTGCATCCTGGGGGACTGACCTAAATGAGCAAGAGCCAAAGGCTTCTGTGTCCACTGGCTTCAAGTTGGGCTTGGCTGACAGGAGACCTGGGAGGGACTAAAGTGAGGGAGGAGAGTGAGGTTGGAATGCTCATGGCCCCAGCTCCCTTCCTGCAGGGTGCTTGGGCTGGCCACTCCCCTGCCTACAGCCAAAGCTTTCAAGTTATCTTCATACAACCCCCTCTGCCTGCACATCCAGGCCTCCTTAATGGAAATTCACTAAGGTTCTGGAAACCACACTGCACCCCCAAATGGAACCTTGTACCATGTGGCTCAACAAACAGCTGTCAAAGTAAATTCGGGGCAGGTGTGTTTGTTTGTTTGTTTGTTCAAATGAAAAGCAGGAGAGAAAAAGGATTTTAAATGATCTGGAGTACTAGGACCAGATGGCAAATAAGCCCCTAGGCTCCTGGCAAAACAGTTTTTATTTATTTTTGTTTGCTTGTTTGGATGCTCTTAACATTTTTTTTTCCTTAAATTAATATACAGTAAATTTGACTTAAAAAAAATTTTGGTGTACAGTTCTATGAATTTGAGCATGTAGATTTGTGTAACTATATAGATTTGTGTAACTAGCACCACAAACAGGAAACAGAAAACCAAAAAAAAAAAAAAAACCTCTTTCAAGCTATAACTTTGTAGTGACACCACTGCTCTGTTCTCCATCTTTATATATGGTGTGTACTAAGTCACTTCAGTCATGTCCTACTCTATGTGACCTTATGGAGTGTAGCCCACCAGGCTCCTCTGTCCATAGGGATTCTCCAGACAAGAATACTGGACTGGGTTGCCATGCCCTCT